CTCTCTCTCTCTCTCTCTCTCTCTCTCTCTCTCTCTCTCTCTCTCTCTCTCTCTCTCTCTCTCTCACCTTTTCGCTCTCTCTCTTTCACACTTTCTTTCAGTCTGACATTCTCTCTCAATCTCATATTTTTTTTACACCATTCTCTCATTTTTACTCCCATTCTCTCCCACACTAATACTTCTTGTTTCTTTCTCTCCGTTTCAATCTCACTCTCTGATTCGCACGCAATCTTTCCCACATCGCGGATTACAGTCATTACTATCATCAAAACTGTGTCTATTAAAAAACGGGATTAGCCGTCCATTAAAGTCGCTTCTAAGATTATCTTAGTACAAATCGAATTAATGATTTTCATTTCCTTCCTTTTGTGTCAGTTGCTTACTCACTCGCCCGCTCACTTCGTCGTCGTTTTCCGTGCAATCGATTGCACGTCTAGAACGGCCGATATACAAGAAAGTATAAGAACAAGGAGCATAAACTGATGTCAGGAACTAGCAAACAATGAACATCGAACGATGAATACGAGAAGTAGATATCACGAATAATGCGCGCGTTTCCTTATGTTCGTTCTTCGATCGATTACAAATACAAAACTACGCCCTTCCTAAATCGCGGAGGACACTCTATTACACTTGACCTCTCAATAGTGTTTACTTTCTAATTAAATACTTCCTCTAAGTATTTCCTCTATTGCTCGCGTTACAAATGGCATTGTTAAGATGGGGACTATTCTCATCAATTTTGTTATTTCATAGCATCTATTTTCAGGTAGATTTATACCGCTTGTAGCTATTTCTTATGTTAGCATTGTAAACTAATTTTTTCTGTTACATTTTGCTCCTATATTTTGTTTCAACTTTTCAATTGCATCAGCCTTAAATCGCACGTCTCGTATCCCCGTTTTATTCTAAACAGAACTAATTAATCCTTTCGGTACCAAACTAAGTATAGTGGTCTAAGTAAAATCGCTTTTTTTTTCTTCTCTTTATCTCTTCTCCCCCTTCTCCCCTTCTCGTAATTTTTAATTAGCCCTTCGCTATTTCAACAAAGTTTAACTCTTAGAACATGTAGCGTGCCTCGGATCAATTCCCTCCACTCATGGACTCCTCAACCGATTCCGAGTTGATTTTAAAAAATTGTGAAAAAGATGTTACCCCAGCGTTTTTCCGACGAGGGAAAACGGATTCGGAATCGCCGAAGGAATCCGCGGTTCAAAGGAAATGCAACTGATCCGGCAACATTCTCTACATGCCGACCAATAGAAACCAATTGCGCGATGTATGGTGGATGGATACTGAATAGATTTATCTAGGCTATTTCGTTCTTTTTTCTCTCGACCGGGTCGAACGACGATCGAAAATCGGCAACTTCGGGATGTTGAAAGAGTACTTTGCACATTCTCCTTTCGTTTCATATTATACTCCTCCCCTTCCTGTATTCTCGAATTTTACACGAGACAATGCTTCACGACTCGGCTTGAATTTACGTCGAATTTTTTTCTTCTCTCTGTTTTTGCGATCGAGGATCGATCGAATTGGATTGATCTGGTTTCACAAGCAGGATATACCTGAGGGGAGGGATACAACTCCTTGGTGCGATGTAAATCGAGAGCGGTGAAATGGCAGTTCTGGCGATTCAGTAGCGCTTCCGTCGGAAAAAGATAAATTTCCGGACGAAGATATTCGTGAAATCGCTCCGAAGAGATTTTGAGTGCGAGGGTCGATTGGTGTGGCAATTCGTTCTTCAGACAGCTTACGAACGGCCTCCCCGAGTTTCAACACCGTGTGTCTTCCTCTTCCTCTTTACAATATGAATTAATGTTACCCGCATAACTTAATAATGAAACACACGGTATGAGTCATCTCTTCTTCCTCGTCATTGTCATTATCATCAACATCGAAATGCTGTACGACCTACCGTAACATCGTCTTTTCCGAACGAGTTAGGGATCATGCTCGCGGGCTATTTGCCCGCGTGAAATTTATCTCATGAGAAGAAGAGGAAAACTGTAAGTGCCAGCGTAATGTTTCCACGCAACATTTCATATGGCGTGCTCTTCTCGTTATTAAAGAGATACTCTTGACAACTTCGAGACGAATCGTAATTTAGTTTCACAAGGAATCTCTCTCTCTCTCTCTCTCTTTCTCCCCCTCTCCCTTTCTCTCTTTCTCTCTCTCTCCCACTCTCTCCCTCTTTGCCCCCCCCCCCTCTCTCTCTCTCTTTCACACGCACACACACATACACACACACAAACAAACGCACAGAATCATTCTTTAATCCTTGAGATTCGATAAAGACGAAGAGTGCGAATTATGAATTATTTTTAATATACACGCGTACTTTTTTTTCAAATTTGCGCACGCTGTCGTCATCATCGTCATAATTATTCTCTCTTTCTCCCTTTGCCTCTCTTTCTTTCTTTTTTCTCTAGTGCAAACATTTATCCGCAATTCTCGAGAAGGCATTATCGCATACATCGAGGATAGAAATGTACTCGTCGAAAGGCTGAGATTGTGATTTAGGCATTAAACGCGCGCCATCGGCAGACATTTTCGGTTTTTGATTTTACGGACGCCTCTCTGATTCTTACTACCATCAGGTCGATCTTACTGTTATTATAATATTCAAATTATAATGTTCAAACTGTTCCATCGTCTCCCTTTCTTTCCCTCTCTCTTTTTCTTTCTCCTTCTCCTCCTCTCTCTCTCTCTCTCTCTCTCTCTCTCTCTCTCTCTCTCTCTCT